ATAAAGCTGGACTGAAACACGCATGACGCATGTTGCTATGTTGATGGAATAAAATATATTCAAAAAAATGATTCTGTGTCTACTACAGAATTATTATTAGTAATTATTCTAGTAATACATGTAGCTAAAAAAAATGCAGTTTTCTCTCAATGTGCTACTGCAAACTTTCTCCTTGTGTGAGGGAGCTACGTAACATCTGGTTGTAAATTTTATTGCGGACGGCAGTGCCGTCTTCTATTACCGTGGCCTGTATTCTCTGCCCGCTCTCACCTGATTTTACCGTCCTGCTCTCGGCCACTAAAATGATTTCCGGTCTGCCTGATTCCATGTGAATACAGCATAAATCAGACGTCTCCAACTGTGAGCCGCACCTCTCCAGGGGAATACGAGAAGGGTTGAAGGGGACGCAGAGGGACAGACATGAGGCAAAGATGGTGGCCGAGGTGAAAGGGACAAGTTTGTGTTTCTATATTACGGTACTTTAAAACCCTTCAGTGCCTGATTTCCAAATTTACTTCATAATTTGTACTCTATTTCTTTTAGTCATAACATAATGCTAACAAAACCCACATCGATGCAGTTTAAACTCCTGTTCATTGTCCTTTCATGGGATAAACCACTTACAAACGCCCTTTATGGAAACGTGAGCACTGACGGGTTGTGTGTGTAAACATCAGTGAACGTGACATTGGGTCATGTATGAGCTTTCTGTCCAGCAGTGCGAGTGATAAAACACAGGGCTGATTCAGGTGCTGCTGTTAGGGGTCCTTGTTCCAGCAAGAATGGACAGAAAGTCAGAGAGGGGGTGGGGGGAGGGAGCGAAAGACTGTTGTGAGTGGTAAAAAGCAGAAAATATAAAATGGAAGAGGGAGACATTATCGAAATGAGCCGAGATGATAATGAAGATATCTCTGTGGGATGCAGAATATGGGGATTTTGAGAGGAAAATAGAGTGTGTGTGTTGGGGGGTTGGAGAGACGACAGACCGGGTTGGGTGGGCGGGGTTAAAGGAAAGCATAGAGGTCAAGGAAATGAAGACTGGTTTAGGTGAAAAAAAAAAAGAGCGAGGGGAGAAGCCGGAAAACGGCAGTTAATGACTCCGAGGCTGCTCTCTCTGGGGTTCCTAACGAGCTGCAATTACTCTGCGCGTACACACACACACACACACACACACACACACACACACACACACGCGCGCACACACATACACACACACACACACCACCCCCCGGAATCATTGCTGCATGACTTTCAGCAATGATTCCGTCCACATTAACAAAGTCACATGTCGCCACAGTTTCTTAATGAACCGAGAATGTTTTTACGTTCCTCAGTGGGTGGGCTTGGCTTTTGCCAGGGTGATTCAACTAGGTGGGGTCAGCTTGGTGTGGGAGGATCTCTTTGTGGGACGTCTCCGTGGTGCTGGATGACCCTGACCGGGCGTGTTTCCTCTGTGGCGGTGCGTCGCGACTTGCTCTCGATCGGCTTGGAAAGGCCCGGTCTTGAAATATGTTCCCCGTCTCGTTTGCCATGCTTTGTGGGTGTGCCTTTTTTTTGCCATGTCATCACCATTCATATCTATATAAATAATGTGTCCATAATTCAATTGCTTCCAAGAGCACAAAGTTCTTCATAGATCTAGCCTAAAAAAAAAAAACTAAAACAAAGGCTCGCTTTAATTTCAAGTCAACTGATGATTGGACTCATAAGCTTTCAGGGGGCAGCCCTTTGATATACATGTGTGTATATGTGTGTGTGTGCGTGCGGACACCCGTTACAGCGCCACAATCCATTTAAGAGGACGACTGGCCCCTTGACCCTTTTTGGTTGTCATGTGCTACAGAGAAGAAATGTGGCACTTGACCTCGACATTACAGCCCTGTACACCCACACCCACAGAGAAGAGGAGCACGTGCTCCAACAGTAGGGAACAACACACACATCAGCATCCACGTAACAAAACAATACAACCACACATCAACACAGAATATGAAACTGACATATCCTGATTTATGATGGAAAGAGAGAGGATGATGAATCAGCAAACTATTTTTGAGTAATTATTTTTGTATAGCGCGTCCACACAGTGAGAGCGTCAGTAGAACATGTGGCTGTGTTCACAGTTAAGCTATGAGCTCTTTTGTGTGTGCGTGTGTTTCCTTGTTCACACACACTGGGGCCATAAATAGTAGCTGCTATCAGCAGTGTGGGCATTCCAAGACAAAGCAGTGTACTATCAACACGGAGGGCAGACCTGCCTATTGGCTTTTCTCACACAAAGTGAGGGAGAGGAGGGACGGAGGGAGGAAGCACACCGAACCTGAACGTCTCTGTCCTCCTGTGTGATGTCAACTTGTTGATGACATGAAAACCTGAATTTATTCTGAACACGGCTAAGTACACTAAACGTAACCAGAGCTTTCATTTAACATCTCTTCCTAAGCAAACATTTAGATCCAGGAACTCCTCCCCAAAACAGGTGGAGCATCTGGAATAATAGCTAGACATTACAGGGTTTAATTCTGTACAAGTAACAGAACAATAAATTCAAAGAATGTTTAAAATGAGAAAAGCTATCATTCAAATGAAAACCGATCTAATAAAAAGAATAAGGAAAAATAACTACGGCTGGGTTATACCAACAAGGATGAATTTAATCTAAGATTCATTGTAATCCGAGTTTAGCAAAACTAGGTTTTAAACGAGTAAATCAAGAGCTCTGTTGCACAACTTAAAAAGAAAGACAGCAATCTTCCTTTTCAGCTCCAGAACAGTTTTGTTGCTGAATTTAAATCTTGAGAGAAATTCAGCAGCAGCACAATAAAACTGAAATGGTTGAGTCTGTCCCTTAACTTTTTTTCAAGGAACTTGATTATTTTTGCCCTATCCATCTCAAAAAGGCGGCCATTTTAAAAGTCAAACCTCCTCAAGTGTATTTAAAGTTAATACTGGATCACATATTAAATTGAAGTGCTGGTGCAACGGAATTAGATTCAATTTAGGATTAGAGTAAGAAGTAAACGTTTATAGAGTGGTTAACATTTAACTAAAAGTATCATAATACAGGGGTCACGATTCAATACATTTGCGAGGCTGTAAGCAAGGTTAGATATTGCATTTTTTTCAAAAATCTTATTCTAGAAAAACTGTCATGGTATAAAGAACAAACCAACATATGCATAAAATCTGAGTTTAAAAAAAAAAGGTACATTTTCGACAGGGCACATATCTTTGCAAATGAAATAAAGTACTGACTGAGTTTTTGGTTAGATGCCTAAAATAAGGCCCGTGTTTAGCGTTTTGTTTTAACGACATGAAATATGTCAGTAAATGCCCCTCTGGTGAATTTAGAAGCTTTTACGCGTCTTAAAAGAGGCAGTTGCAAACAAGTGTCTAAATGAGACGACTAAATGTCATCACTAGAACACAAGTCCTCCTTTAGCTCAGTGGAACGCATGAGACCATGGGGTTGTTCCTTTATAGCCAATGTTAGCTTTTTACTTCTGCGCTTCAAAAATCCTAAAAGTGGGGTTCATTTGTGAGGATTATCTTGCTGAACAACTGTAATGTGCGATGCTCTAACTTCCAGGTTGGCCTACAAAAATACATCATCCCTGCATCTACATCGCAATATGATTATGTATCCATATTTTGTTTGGCACTCCAAAAGTATTGAGGTTTGATACCCGGCCTTTTACATCTTACTCTTACTGATGCGTTCACATTCACCTTAATGTGAGCAGTACTTCCCCTGCTAAAGGGCAGCAGTAACAGAAGTCGATTTCAGTTTCAGTAATAACGTGGGTTTAATGTTGAACTTTTCACAAAAATAAGTTCCGTTTCTCCGCTAGCTTGCATGTTTAACGGCCAGGATATTGGAAGAGGGTTAAAGTTCAACTACTCTTACATCAATGATGTGAAGCCGTGTGAAGAGACCGAAGGAGATGAGACTGAATATTCTGGTTAAACTGAGTAATAAACCTTTGTTGGAAACTTCTACACTGACAACAGGAGCCACAGCCAGACGGAGATAAGTGAGAGTGTAAAAGGGGAAATCTTTGGGTGCGACATTGTCAATGAGTGGATAAAAAAAACTTGACGGGCAGATGATGGGAGGGTTAGACGGACGGCTGGAGAGAAATAGATGATTATTTCAAACATGAAACAAGAGAACCAAACATTCAGAATCACATGAAAACACAAAAACTGCTGAAATGAGATCTGTAGAAGACTTCCATAAAAAATGGAAACACTAGCACGCACAGTGCACAGGGGTGTTTTTATAGAAGCCTATAAGAGTTTTTTAAGGCTGCTTTTACTAATGGTCCATTGAGAAAGCTCTGTTGTTTTAGTCCCATAAGTCTTTACTGTCTGGCTGCAGTCTGACCTTGGCTGCTTCGCTGTCAGAGACCACTGGAAAAACACTATAAACAAGTCTCAAATAACATCTTGAATCCCCCCTATAGCCGACGTCTTCTAACCGTTAGCAAACGAGTGAAACGCACCGCGTTGCATACGCTGATCGTGTTCAGTCCCGAGGTGCATTGCGTGGTTGATATTAAAATCTTAAAGATTTGTTTATCAAGGTCCATATACATTTTTACAAATACATTTTCAGGACTTTGAGGCAAATTTTCATGACCGTACTTTCTCTGAAACACCCGTGTATACATGAAAACATAGGAATAAAAATATGTTGCCAGCCTGCGTTAGCTATTTTAAAGAATTGTTCTGCCTCCACCTATGCTCTGCCCACAAAAATCCATTATCATGTACTGACAGAAAAGAAGTCTCATTACTTTCATTAAAGCTGTACAAGTATTTAAGCATTTAGCTTAATGAGCACATGGGGTGGTTGATCAATTGCTGAGAGTGCATATTGCCTGGGGGACAAACATTTCAAATGAAAGCACTAAATTTTTGTTACCATTGCCTAAGCAATGTGCCACATCTCCTGAGTACTAACATAATGTATGTTAGCCAGTGGAAGCCCCAAGTACCTGGTAGAGGAAGCGCTGGCTGAACTGGTGCATGGCGCCCTGCAGCTGGTTGCGCTGGCTCTGCCACTGCTGGTAGTTGCGCACGGACTCCGCCGTGGGCCTCTGCCATGTGGTGGTTCTGGTGTTGTGGTCCACGTAGTAGAACCTGCCCCGCTGGTCCACTCGCTTCTCCCAGCTATAGAACGGAGGGGGGGGGGGGGAGACAGAGAAAGGGCTGTGGCTTTCAACATCATCTGTATTTAGCACGTCAAGAGTGGGTGGTTGTATCAAAATGTAGGCTGCTGATAGTAACAGCACTGATTTAAAGAGAGAAGGAAAGAAAACAGTGAGAAGAGGGGAAAGAGTGGGAGGGAGGAAGAGGAAAGAAAAAGGGAGGGATAAAAGAGTGGACATGGAGAAGGAAAACAAGAGGAGGACAGATAACACTGCTAAGATGGTTAAAGCAAACTATCCTTTACTGAGGTTCGAAGAATAAAACTGATAAACACATTTTTACACCAAATGTGGCTTTAAATGTCAATTTTTTTACTTTCTGAGGACCTGCCTTTAAAACACAAATTCCCAAACTTGCACATGATCAATGGTAAACTTGTTCTACAGCTCCAGAAAATCAATTTAGCAGCGAAAAAATAATGCTGGTGGATAATCACAGGGCTTTTTTATTTATTTATAGTGTTATCACTAGTTTGGCCAAGCCTCAGGCAACAGCCACACGTTTTTGCTACGGTCACACCTAGCGCCCACAACATTTCACTGTTTTAGAACCCCTAAAACAGAGACTTATGAAAATGCAGCTTGTGCCGTTTTAGTCTGGAAAGGCAGGAAACGAAGACCGTTGAAAACTAGGATGCTCCATTATTGGGTCTTCCACGATTCGTGACACCGGTGGAAGAAAACAAACGACACCAGCCTCGACTCAGCGGTTAATTCAACACGAATTACAGGAACTGCTGACCTTGCTGTCTATGCTAGGATCTGTTGTGCAGTTCAATTCTACTAGCGCCTATATGCGCAGGAGGGAAGCTATTATTTGAGCGCTTAGGGACAACTCTCGTGTCCGGTGGCTTTATCAGCCCGGGTCATGTGATATGCGTTCTCAGGCCTGGTAGTGTGGGCGGAGATTGTTTCTGAAAAGGCGCTAAAACGCTCATCTGGACGGAGACCGTTTTTGTTTTATGACGCAACCTCAAAGGTCATCAAACTGTGTATTCGCGTTAAAGACAATGCCAGCCCTCAAGTACATGAGGGGAAATAATGGCCAGCGGCGTTACTCAGACGTCTATGTATACCTTGTTCTTCCCCTTAGATGGGGGGTCTGGACATGGACTAGAGATATGGACGGTCCACAGAAACACAGACAAACGAACACAGCGCCACACACACAGACCAGTTCCCTGGGCTCGGCAGGACTGACTGCTGCTCTCCTTGCTATTCCCACATCTCTGACTTCAGCGCTACAGAATTTGGAAGAGAAAACAGCATCAAATTCCGTATGCTAACAAAAACACGCCATGCAGATACCAACGGGCTTGGAAAGTTAAAACTCCATGACGTTTTTTAGACCTTCCATAACTAGCTGAAGGACTGTATCACTGTGAGATTCTTCCTTTTGTTCAGGGTTTTTCTAAAGTGGTCTTATAGTCCACTGCAGTCAGGATTTTTTTTAAACAGCAAATGCAATGAATGTGTGAGACATGCTGTAAAATAGAGTTTACTCGACACCTCAACAGTGAACTTTACTAAGTCAAGAAATCGACATTCTAAATTCCCTGACTTTAGCTGCTTGGAACACAGCTAACAAAACTCTATGATAACACTATGATATTTCATTACTGGTGGGAATCTAAACAACACACAGTGCCAAGTGTGTAAATACACATACAATGAAGGCTCAATATCATATCAGTAACGTGATATGAGACAAGATATCGTCTTGGATTTTGGATAATATAATTATAATATATAGCAATAGAGTTGTCTTCTGGTTTTATAGGCTAAATTACAGTAAAGTGATGTAATTTCCTGAACTCACCAGACTGATCTAGCTGTACTATTATTTGCCATTACCCACTCAGTCATTAAATCCATATTACTGATTCTTATTTATCAAAAATCTCATTGTATAAATATTCTGTAAAAGCGAGGTGGCAACCTCCGGTTCTTGGAAGTGAGGCCAATGCTAAAGGGCCTTAAAGCTGCATTCTCTCTACTGTCCACCAGGGGCGACTCCTCTGGTTGTATTGAAGTCTATGAGAAAATGACTAATTCTCTCTTGATTTATTACCTCAGTAAACATTGTAAACATGAGTTTATGGTCTCAATCTCTAGTTTCAAGTCTTCTTCAATACAGCATGATGTTCATTTAGTAAATGATGGTCCATTTAATAGACCATAAAGCAGGGTATGCTTTAGGGCGGGGCTACCTTGTGATTGACAGGTCACTAGCAAGACCTTGTCCAATTTGAGAGTTGTCATGTTTTTTCATGTCACAACTTGTTTGTAGTTCATGAAAGTAAATTTCAAACCTTTTGGTTGCCTTATTCAGAGCTCTACTGTACTTAGCTCCACCCTCTCGTTTCATTTATGGTCAGAGGTCGCATTAACTGAATATTATTGACAATGTCGGAAAAATCTGAAGGCACAGCAGTGTTTTCAAAACTGTTTCACTGGGGACAACCTGATTCACAATAGGCCTCATCTATTAATTGTAAGAAGAGCTAATTTGTGCATCAATGAACGATTAATTATCTTGAATAGGTGACCAGCCATTTAGAAAAGATATACGACTTTGTTTTTGAAAATATATACACATGTTAAATACTTTATTATCGAGAGCAAATAAATACATTTTGGCAGAGTTAGCAGACTATCTAGTTCCTTTAACTTCCTCTCATCAGTTCAACAAACAGAATGTACACTAGCCTTTTCATATCGGAGTCAATTATCAGAACAATACGGACATTCATACTCCCTTGTGTGGCTGGAAGGTGTTATTGCAGCAAAAAATGTTAAATAAAAGACCATCGAAGAAATTCCTCAAATTTCTTTGGCAACCCTAATTAGAGTTCTTTGGGAATGACTCTTATGAGTATCTGTGGCAGCAGGACGATGTAAGTGGGATTGTGTTAAATAAACTATGGAGAAGGAACAGCCAGTGCAACCGTGTGGCTCATCGATGTGTTTTTAATACTTTGCTAGTAGAATCAATTCATTGTTTGTCTAATCATGTGATTCGTTGTTATTACGAAAAACATAGAATATCTACAGACTTATCTTTAAATCACCCCCACTTTTGTTTGATTTCTGTCTCCAAATCAATTTCAAGAAGTGAAATCTTGAAGATTAGACTTTGAGTGGCATCAGGAGCCAACATGTATACAAGGCTTTGCACCGATATTAGTCAAATTAAATGAACTAACTCCAAAATCTCTAAAAACATCTCTTAATACATGCAAAACAAACAAAGTATTCTAGCACCACTAATGTTTATATTACTCAATGTGGTACTTGAGGTATTCATCTCACAAAAGACACTAAAAACAATATCTAGCAGCTCTTTAACTGGCCATGACAAAACTGTATGACCCAGAATTTTTAAGTTTGATCAACGCTGTGATAAGCCATAGTCTGTGTGCTTGAGAATTGGATGTGTATCTTTGTACTTTTAATGGTTTTCTAGGGTCTAGAAGTCCTCTACGCTGAGGCCTTTTCAACACAGCGCCGACAGCGTCTCTTAAGATCTTGCTGGAGGACCCTTCAACAGCGGGGATGATTGCAGACACGGGGATAGTCTCTCTGACCACTGTGCCTCCGAGCTTCCTTTAAAAAGGGCAAGAAAAATACTGTTCCCTCTCTGATATTAGGACTAGCTAGTTATTTACTGGAGCCAGAGAAAATCCCAGAGTCTGAGAGTCTCTACTTAGTTCTGCTATCTGACTTTGAACTCTTCGTACCAGTCGCATCATTAACTCTCTACTCCGTGTTTTTCTTGGAGCTAGAAGTGTACGGTCCCCTCACCACGAGCTGTCCGGATTAAGATTTTACGGTGCATCCTTTATGTTGTTTTGGACTCAGTATTTATCACCATGTTGGCTGACAGCAATCCCTACGAGCTCCTTTCTTTTATCTTCATCCCATTTCCTACTGGGATGGAGTTTGACACGTGTTGACTGAATGAAACTCCCATTTACAAGATTTTTAAGTCAAGTTGTACCTTGGCATAGGGTAGCTCTAAAAAAATGAAAGCTGTAAATGTAAGGACGAAGCCAGGGCCCACATCTTGTCTGGAGCAGCTCATGCTGATCAATTAGTGGTGAGACAAATGACTGATGCAGAAATATGTAAGAAAAAAAAAAAACAGTATGGAGACGGACACATCAAGACTGGAGACTTCAACTTCACTCCATTACTTAAAACAATAAATGACGACGTCCTCCGCTGGATGAACCTACCATTATCACTCATGGGCAGAATAGCTACAGTTAAAATGACAATACTTCCTAAAATAAATTACCTATTCACAATGATACCTTCTCAACCCACTCACTCCTGGTTCAAATCACTTGACTCAATCATTACTCAATTCTACTGGAAAAATAAAACACCAAGAATTAAACTGGCCACACTACAAAAACCAAAAACACAAGGAGGACTTGAAGCTCCACATTTTTTTCACTGCTCTCTAGCAAATAAACTTCAATACATTCTTAAATGGATCCACCCCAACCAATCAGACAACACATGGTTAGATATAGAACAGACAGTTTGTAAGGACATTCAGATGTCTGACCTACCATTTTTAAGCCAATCTATCAAATGCCATCCTTGGTTCAATATACTAACAATAGCAGAAACTCTGACAGCCTGGTGGAAATTCCACAAAATCACTAACATCACTTTTGCACCTTCAAATTTTTTCTCCCATATGGAACAATCCTGATTTTCTAAGTCACAAGACACCTCTTAATCTCCACACATGGTCCGCTAAAGGCATCACTCATCTGAAACACATCTTCAATAATAACACCATGGTTTCATTCCCTCACACTCTGACAAAACATCATCCATACCATCAAGAAAATGGGAATCAGACCTGTCCATCACTCCCGATGCTGATTTCTGGAACCAAATCTGCAACATCTACTTCATGACTAAAAATGCCAATTTACAACTAATACAGTATAAAATACTTAACAGAATTCATTACACTGGGCAAAAAATGTTTAAAATGGGATTCACGTCAGATATCTGTCCACATTGCACTCAAAACAGCCCGGATAGCTATGTTCACGCCACCTGGCACTGCACACCAGTTAATCACTTTTGGAAAAAAATAATTGAGTCACTGTCAGTCTTCCTGGGCTGCCTCGTCCCATTATCCCCTTCACTGTGCCTACTAGGAGACATCTGAACAATACATCTGAGTAAAACAAATCGCAAATTACTCCTCGTGGCCCTAACTATCGCCAAGAAAACTATCCTCATGAACTGGAAATCAAGGAATAACACACATCTCACACACTGGAGAAACTTAATGATAGAGTATATTTCAATGGAAAATCTAACCTCGTCCATCATATACAATACAACAGAAAACCACTCCACCTGGTCATCCCTCACTATGTTTCTGCAAACGTAACACCACCCATCCTATTAATATTAAAATTTGTACAGTATATAGTGTATATATATTTTGTGTATTTATTACTATTGTTGATTTTTGTTTTGTTGTTTTTCTTGCCTGACAATCAATTGAAACCCACGTACATGCATACATGAACATCCATATGCACACATACTTACCTGTTTTTTTTGGTTTGTTTTTTTATTATTATTATTTTTTTCCTTCCATCTCAAAAGGCTCAAGGACATTCTCACACACACACGCGCGCGCACACATACACACACACACACACACACACACACACACTGACTATATGATGTTTGCTAGCTTTTATCTCACTGATCTTGTCATCCTCTTGTTGTTATGTCTATGTATTGTCTAATATTGTCTCTTGTCTTTCAATAATAATAAAAAAAAATTTTTTTTTTTAAAAAGGGACTGGAGACTGAAACTTTAGAAGGAAAAATGGTATCGGAATATCAGACGGGCAGTGTTTTTTCAGATAAAATGCTCACATCAACCCTCGTAGGAAACTCTTTGTGCTGCTTGTTTCTTGCCGTCTGCTGGCATATCCCCAGACATGCACTATACACAGAAAATAAACAAAAATTGCGATTGCTAAACATCTCAGTGTTAGTATCAAACACTAAAAAATGATCGTGGCACAATCAAGGCCTTTACACACCAGGGGTGTTGTTTTTTTTGCGTGCGTTTAATTTGCCTGTCAATCTATTTTTCCAACTGTTAGCGACTTAAATTTTCTTCCAGAACAAGGTCAATTTTTCTGAGCTTTCACACTGCGAATAAAAGGTACCCATTTGTGAAACAACGACAAAGGTCCCAAGACGGCAAACTTTATCACTCCATTCAACCTTGACAAAGGCAGCGCAGACCAGATCCACTTCTTCCGTTCTTACCTTTCACAATAAACGCCCTAGACATACAATTTTCGCAGGCGAGTATTTCTCATTTTCTTGAGACGTATTTGTCACGCAGTGGCGGGCCGTCAGGGCCTGCAAGGCCTTCTCTGCTGGCCTAAACAGAATCACAAAGCTATATGTATTTAAAAAAAAAAAAAAAGAAAAAAATTATAATTTAATAATTTTTCTTAAATACATTACATGTATTATAATTTATAAAAATATTTTTCCCATCATCTTATTTTCTCATTGCACAGCTACTGTCTTCCTCAATTGCTCTGCTTCCAGTGCAGCTTGTTTTAAGTAGAGCTTTTATCCAATCAGATTTCACCTCTGTGTCTCTAGGTAATAAGACAGGCCCGAGACCTGCAGAGTCTCACCTGCAGCCAGTGCAGATTAAAGTAAATGGGGACGATATTGTTGATTGTCATAGTGTTCAACCAATCAGATCTTTAGTTTGACATGTTGGGCGTATTCTTTGACTATCAGAGCCTGCGCGCCGGCCTATAATGACGTCAGCATTACATGCCGCCAGTGTCCGTGTGTAGCTTTCCCGCGAGGTACAGAGTGTGCTGTGATTGGTCAGTGGGCGAGCACGTGACTATCATGAAACGAAACTTATCAGCCAGCAGAGGCTGATGGGTAGTGAATCACATCACGTGATGCAGCTCAGTCAATCAAAATGCATTCTGACTGAGTGAGATGCACCATGATAGAGGAACCTGAGCCAAGGAAAGACATTGCAGAGCAGTACGATCAATGCTCAAGTTGTGAAAGTAAAATCCTATGTTAATCTCTTTGGGTCACGGCTTGTCATAAAGGAATGACTGTGGATCCCACAGCCAGACCAGCTGAGAACATTATATTTTCCTGAATTTAGGCTTTTGCATTTTCTAAATGCTCTAGCATTATTCAGACGACTCGTAGCGAACGGTTTAATACGAAGATGTACATAGTTACAGCCTTAAAAATGAATAACAGCTGTTGCGCCACAATGTGGTTATAAGGTGGTATTTCAGCTGCAGGACAGCAGTGAAGGCCCAGGCATAAAATGCACGGCCCGCCACTGTTGCCACATCCCTGATGTGTAAAGGCCTTAATGCAGCCCCATCAACACAACACTCTGCCAACACTAGAAAGCCACCAGCAACCAGACAGGATAGAAGACTGTGCAGTCCTGATAGACAAAGTACTGCTTTGATAAGGTGTACATAAGAAGGAGCTTACTGCTACATTTAAGATGGGTGCAGCTGTAGCCATTTAACACTGAGTTTTCTCTCTAACCCTGTAATTCAAAAAAAATAGTTGAGTCAAAATGTAACTATTTGATGTTATAAAATGCAATATCTATTATAAACACAAAATGTTGCTTTGCGGTCTAGTTTCTATTGTTTAACTGTGTCGAAATAACACTGTAAAAAAAAATTATCATGCGACGTTGACAAGTACAGCTTTAAGGGAACGCAGCATCCGTTTTCATTTAAGAGGCCCTACTGCTGCTAGACTAAATAAAGCGTGTAGGGACGTCCTGCAGCTCACCAGAGTTGTTGAGCTTGTGAGGCGTCACTAGTTACAAACTCTACAGCGTATTTGATAAAGAGCAGCGGGACTCATAAGCTCTCCTCGGCCCGGCTTTGGATGGCTTTCATTATTTCAGCTTCCAAACCTCGATTGCCTAACACCCCCCCCCACCCCCAGCCTCTAAACAGTTCCTGGTGTGTACATCTGGAGCACTACCGTGGCATTAGATTGCTAATTGATCCTCTGAAGGGCCACAGGCCCACAGTGTTGGATGGAAGTATATGTGGCTCTGTAAGAAAGGACTTTTGTTCTCCGGGCACTAGTTCCTTGTGTGGAAAAACTGAGATGGGGGGGGTGAGGTGAGGGGGAGAAAACTGTGTTCTCACTATGAACGATTAGCACACAACATCAAACCGGATGATTGAGGGCCAGTTACGATGTACAATGAGGCCGCACACTCTCAATAGAGTTCTGTAGGAATGAGTCCTAAAACCAGGAAATGAGTCAGCATTTTTGCACTTCTGGTTCCCTCGTCTCAAAGTCGGTGTTTTTTTGAATAGATTTTGATTAAATGCCTGAAATAAAGTCTGTGTTTAACACAAGCTGAAGAGGTTTTAAACTTTTGTTCTACAATATAACATACATCAGCAAACATCCCTCTGGTGAATTTAGAAGCTTCTACGTGTCTTAAAAAAGTGTCTAAATGAGACGACTAAAGGTCTTCACTAGAACTCTAGTCCTCCTTTAGCTTAGTGGTGGTGACATGAGGTCATCGTGACGTAGTTCCTTTATAGCCTAACATTAGCTTTATTACTTCTGCTGATTGTATTCACGCTTCAAAAAGTGGTGTTCATTTGTGAAGATTATCTTGCTGAACAAAACGTGTAAGAACCATAAACGTTTGTTTGCCACAGAGCTTATTTACTGCAATAATCCAGAATCCAATGAAAGAATCTCGTTGGCTTCTTGTGGAGGGAACCAGTGTGATGCTGACTTCCCTGTTGGCCTACAAAAATATGTCATCCCTGCAGACTTCTACACATTCTTCAAATAAACATGAAGGCTTGTTCTGGCAGCTGACAAAGCTGAACATGAACCTTTCTCTGGACACTTCTGTCTGATGATGTTATCACCTAAAGGGCCCATTACATACGCGTTTAAAATGTTTGAATTTGGAGGCAAATCAAATTAATTTCATGACAATCGCAGCAATCTGGGTTTTTTCAACTTTGATGAACTTTGACACTTATTAGCTTTGTTAGGACCATCCACTTATATTTAAACTCCTCTGAGCATAAAGTCAAAAAGAGAAATGTCTGCAGACGATCGTGAGACCATAAGAGGTTTGTGGTACAAAAACGCATTTTAAAAATAACTGTGTAAACTATCTGCGTTGAGTTGTTGCTGTGTTGCCAGATCAGTACAGTTTGTAGCCCAAAATAAATGAATCCAAAAATATGAGTGAGTGGACACAACGGATTTTCTATTATTGTATTATAATGTTTGAACAATATTTTCAAAACCCCTGCCAAATGTTGACAAAAGCAGCCCAGACTTCATCTACCAGTCCAACGATTATCTTCCCAGCACAACTTCATCAGAAATAGCCCAGCTGGGCAGAAATCAGCCCAATCTGGCAGCACCGTCGGCGAGTAATCCCATAATCGCCGAGAACGTAGAGCCGCATGTTTCACATGTGAATGAATCAGACCCTATATTCTCGCGTCTGTGTTTCCCTGATGAACAACGGGTCTCATTATGTCAAAAGGAAATATACTTCTCTTAGAGGGCTTTAAAATACAAATCAACAAAATATGATATGGGATTACTAAAGCCTAATGTGGACCCGATGTATTGGTAAGCCTCACCTTGTCTGACCCAAACAATCAATGCATCGACACAGAACAGACGTATAAAAGTGTAGCTGGCATACCCTGGAGGCAGCGGTCTCTCCCAGGTTGTTGTTTTGGTGTTGTGGTCCACGTAGTACACCCTGCCGTGAGGCAACACCCTCTGCTCCCAGCTACGCGGAGAGAAGGAGACAATTCACACATAAATACTAGAAGCACCTGTAATTGACGTACTAACAGATAAAATACACAGCGTAGATTATTTAGAGAGCAAAGGGAGTTCAGAGTGGAACAGTGACAGGGTTCACTAACATACTTGTTTAATGCTGTTAATACCCTTACACTTATTTTACAAATGTATCCATCTACGCAACCATTTATTCATGCATTTTGCTTTACTAACAAACACTTGTATTGTATTTCATGTCAATAAAGCTTGTTTGATCTGAACTGAGAGAGACAGAGACACAGAGAGAGACAGAGAGAGGAGACAACAAATCAGTGGATTAATTTAAATCTACAGCTGTTAATAGCTACATTGCTCCCAGTAACAAATCTGCAAAATAGATATTCTTTTAAATACTTTACTTTTTTTAAATTGTGTCGTTTGCTGTTGATTTCCAATGCATATCTTGAAAATCAATTAAATTTGATCACTAAAAATATATATATAGATGTTCATAAAAAATGCGACAGTTTTTTCACTTTTCAGTGAAAGGTTTATATAGCATTGACCAAATAGCAGGATTCTATTGACCCAGAGCAGTGTCTGTCAGTCTGTCTGAGGTAAACTGCTGTAAAACCTAAAGCAAGGAGATGCTCCGAGTGAATTTGAGTTCCTTGAGTTCGCTCTGGTAAACAGGTACGCAGCGTATATATGTCTAGACTCTAGGGCTTTTACTGTGAAAGGTAATAACGGAGAGAGTGGATCCGGTCAGCGCTGCCTTGAGATAAAGTTAGTTGTCTTGGTTTGGACTCGGAGCCTCTTGTTGTTCTACACTATATTGGATATTCTGAATATGTCCGTCACGCAATACGTGATTGGTTGATGCCTTTATGCGCTTCTTTCGACCTTGACAAAGGCAGCACAAACCAGATCCACACCTTCTGTTCTTACCTTTCAAAATAAAAGTTCAGACATATACAGAACAGTGAGTAACAGAGGGACCTCAAATTCAATCTTTTATTTAGGAAACGCAACAAAATAAAACAACAGTTTACCTCAGACAGGGTCAATAGGAACCTGCTAGTTGGTCCTCTGCCTGCACAAATCTACATACATCTACACTTTTACATTACATTACACTTACATCTCACTTGCTTATAGTCCTGTTATCTGTTCGTTTGTGTACTTTATTTTATATTTCACTATATTTTACTTTATTTTATATTTTACTGTCAATTTTAATATGTTTTTACTTTACACTGTGTTGATTGTTGTTGATTGTTAAATGTTATGCGCCACCCGTCATGTCAAATTCCTTATATGTTCAACATACCATGGCAATAAACGGTTCTGATTCTGGCACCTTTTATTGTGAAAATGTTGCAACTGTCGCAAATTTGCATCGCAGCCGGTATGAAGAGTTTTGATGCGAAATATTCGCAGTCGAGTATTTCGCAGTTGTCATATTGTAAATATTATCAAAATGGAGATGAACACTATTTAATATCCTAATTAATGATCACTGATTTGTTCTGACTTTCAAAGTTAAATATGATGCTGGCATTTTTGGGGGAAAATGCACCATTAAAAAATGCATGAAGAAGCAATATGTGAAGTAATTAAGCTGCTAACAGCAACATATGAAGTAGGCTCCATTCTGTATGTAAACTTTAGGCATGAGTGGATTCTCATATTTCAATGGTCTGAATGTGAGACGCTCTGATGCCCTGATTCTCACCCCGCCGGGAGCGAGTCTGTGGGTGGCTCTGTGGCGCTGTTGCCGGCCTGCTCGGTGCCGGCGTTTGGGCCGGGCTCCACTGGCTCGGCAGGACCCAGGGCGTCCTGACCCGGGGAGGGGCTGCTGCTGCTGCTGCTGGCGGCCGGGGAACAGCCCGACGGGGACGACGGAGAGAGCGTGTTTCTAGCCACACCCCCCCGACCGCCCTCCAGCCCATTAGACGTCAGCTCAACTTTGTCTGAGGGAAGACACAAAGGGGACTACAATTTAATAAAATTACTCATTGTTACAGTCCTAACAAAAGTAGTAAAATACTGGACTCTTTAGTGTCCCTTTATAGATAAACTACATTCATAAATTACTACCAGCATTTACTATCCATTTAACATCAAAAGTCAGGCTCTAGATGTCGTACATTTATATATAAATCACAATAGTTAAGTCAACACACAGAGTGTGAGACTACAACAAGTCAATCAGACCCCTCCCATACCTGCACTGCTTCCGGGGCTGACGTGACTCTTGGAGGAGCGGCAGCAACCGGACAAGCCCGACCCGGGGATCTGCTCCCCATTCAGCTCCCCATTAGTCAGGGAGCCCCCCTGCGAACCCCCCACTGAGTGCCTGTTACTCCTTAGAAGAAAGAGAAACAGAGAGAGAAAGAAGGGGAAGGAGATGGTAAGGAAAGAAGGGAGGTGGGATGAGACATTAGAACTTACTGTTTAGCGATTAGACCCATAGTTGTTCCTGACTCAGAGGAACAGACCTGGCACGAGTTCGAGCGTGTACACGGACAAAACCATAGGTGTTAGTGTCGGCTGCTTTCATTCTCTGAGCGACCTCATATTTTCCCAACACTAAATATAACTTAGCTTTTTCCTGACGAAGAATGCTGTGGCCGCGCTCAAACAGCAAACCGGATTAAGTGCTGCGACGTGTTTATTTGCCACAACCAGGAGAAGCAGCACTACTGTGTTTCTTAAGGAACTGAAGAAGTTCTTGTCAACTTTTAACAGAGGAGCAATAGAAAGCATGCTGACTGGAAACATTACAAACTAGCATGGGATGTGTACGGCACAGGACAGGAGGGCTCTACAGCGGGGGATTAAAACCAGAACATCACTCGTACCATCTACTGAGCATCAGTGATATTGATGAGAAGAGGAGCCTGAGAAGAGCTAAAGGATATTAAAGACTAAACCCAGCCAGACACAACCTGTTCACCCTGCTGCCTTCTGGAGAGAGATACAGAAGTATCAGCTGCCGAACCACCAGACTTCAGAACAGCTTCTTTCCTCTGGCTGTGAGACTCCACAACTCATCCTCCACAATCCATAGAGAATAGTTTTGAGTGTGTGTTTTTGTGCTTTTGTTGTGTAGCAAAATGGGACTGCAACCCTGTTGTACTGTGACATTGTAAGCTCCTCGTCACAGGATGACAACAGAAATGGCCTCTACTCTTCTCCTGGATGGAGATGTGGACTGCGTCTCCGTGACAGCGGCGGTCGGGGCTCTTGGCTGAACTGCGTTTAAAGCCCCCCTGCAATGTTTATAGGGAAATACCATCTGACCTCCGCTGCAAAGCTTTGAAATAAATGCAGTCCGCTCCACTATTTATTGTCCCATGACTTTTCTAGCCGGTGAGAGCAGCGTCTCAAACCACATTCAGGGGGGAAATAACATGCTGGCACTCTGTGTAAGTGCTTCGGTCGATCATACTGGCACAGGCTTCCTGCACTCGATCCTTTTCTCTCTTTCAGTTATTTTGATTCTAATTATGCCTCGGGGTTAACATTTTTCACATAAGTACGTTTCAAACTGTGTTTTCGGGGGAAAAAGTGTTGGATTATTATAATTATACTACAACATCTGCAGAAATTTGAGCAGTGTTGTGAACCGTTTCAGTTCCATGTCACCCCCAGCAGACCTCAACACTAAATCTAACCTTATATTTTGAGTCTTTAAGAAACTATGCAAATAATATTGAAAATGTGACATACAAGAATGAAAGATTGAACTTGTCCAAGTCCCGGTGGTTTGACAAAAAAAACCTCAAAAGGCGTTCCTGAGGTATCGCATTCACGAGAATGCACCGAACGGAAACGAAAACATGATGCCGTGGTTGCAGCACGGAGGCATGAAAACCTCAAGAGCCTACTGCAGAACAACTCGACAAACAAAAACCTAACATCACATTAAAAAACGTGTGCAGTTTACTGACACATCTTTGCAGGGTTGGTCCAAAAAAAAAAAAAAAGGCCTGGTAATCAACAGCCAGAGAAACACACATGTAAGCTTACAGCTATTCAATGAGCGCTTTTACATGTGTTGCCAATGGTTCCAAAACCATGAAGAAGTGGTGGGGAGTTTTTCATCACACATCCCCACAAATGAACTCCTTTATCTCGAATTTTCTCAATAAAAAAAAAAAAAAGAAACTCCTTTCCTTTTTTAGAGATCGCAAAGTGCTGCTCTGATAAATTAGCGCAAAGCAAATATTCAACATGACAGCTCAACCAATCATTGTCACTCTCTGAGCTGAACCACACAGATCCTGATTGAATCTAGTCAATTTATTATATATATTTAATACATCATGGGGATGACGGTTGCTCCATTAAAAACATGTTCTGTGTAATATAGTGCCTTTGCTATATATTTTTATAGACTACTATTCAAGACAATTTACAAGTGATTCCAATCAAGATTTGGAGACATTTTCATAAAAGCCATGCTGAATGCCTTTGCGCATCCGTGTATGTTTCGTTCAAAATTGTCGCATATTTAAGAATACGACCTCACGTTGTGACAATCACGTTAATATTCTGAGAGCGAAACTTTCTTCCGTCTAAGTTTAAGTTTTCGGATCAAGTTTGATTTTCTTTCGATAGGTGTTTGACCACTCAGAGCCACCGTATTGAGACGTCGTCGTCCAACATGGCATCTGATAAGCTGATTCACTCTCTCAGCCAATTGATAAGTTGTTATGAGTTCATCTTGTCCTTGTTCAGATGTCCTTTCACTGAATAAAATAATATCTTCACCCAGATTAATGTAGTTAATATGAGGGTATAAAAATATAAAATATATTTTGACATCAGACACTTTTCAGTCATTGGTTGGTCTCTCCACTCTCATATCACATCCAACATCTGTTTGGTCCTCGCAGCATCAAGGGGACCGAATCTCAATTTCAAAGTGTGCTTAGAGACTGTGTGTGTGTGTGTGTGTGTGTGTGTGTGTGTGTGTGTGTGTGTGT